GGGGGGCTGGGGGTGTCTGTACGTTCTATATACCCGGGCTCTGTTTAGCTCATTAAACCTCCCACCGTATGGTTGTTTTTCTCGGTATAACGAGCTCATTGTGTGATTGGAAGACACGCTGGGGTCTGTTCGGTTCTTTATCTGCGACGTGTTCTTTGCTGTTGTAAAGAAATCTCGCTGATTTGTACATGTAATTACCGTGTTTGTTTCCCGTGTTCTTGTGGTTGGTGTCAGTGAAGTGTTACCGCGTGGTACAGCTCCATATTAATGGCCATGGTGGGGGGGGGGGGAGGGGACAACTCCATGGTTCTGCAATGGGATGTCCCTCATGCTTCCTCAGGTGTGATGGTCAGGGGTCCGGGTCCACAACTTCTAACTGGTTTCCAATGACCTGACATGCAGCATTTGTGACAGGTGCTCTTGAAGTTCCCTGCTCCTGTGTGTCAATAAAGCTTTCATTCACCTTGCAGGTCGGCGCAAGCCTCTCGCCGGAAGAAGGAGAGCCGGAGGAAGCTGAAGAGGTATTTACTAATCGGCCTGGCGACAGTCGGAGGCGGCACAGTTATAGGTGAGAAATCCGTCATTTAACATCATGACCTGAAGCAAGAGGAGTTGTTACCCGGGGCAACCAATGGGATTTAGTGTTTCCCGTGCAGTATTACCCGGGGCAACCAATGGGATTTAGCGTTTCCATGCGGTATCACCCGGGGCAACCAATGGGATTTAGTGTTTCCCATGCAGTATTACCCGGGGCAACCAATGGGATTTAGTGTTTCCCATGCAGTATTACCCGGGGCAACCAATGGGATTTAGCGTTTCCCGTGCAGTGTTACCCGGGGCATCCAATGGGATTTAGCGTTTCCCATGCAGTGTTACCCGGGGGGCATCCAATGGGATTTAGTGTTTCCCATGCAGTGTTACCCGGGGCATCCAATGGGATTTAGTGTTTCCCATGCTGTATTACCCGGGGGGCATCCAATGGGATTTAGCGTTTCCCATGCAGTATTACCCGGGGCAACCAATGGGATTTAGTGTTCCCCGTGCGGTATTACCCGGGGCAACCAATGGGATTTAGTGTTCCCCGTGCGGTATTACCCGGGGCAACCAATGGGATTTAGTGTTCCCCATGCGGTATTACCCGGGGCAACCAATGGGATTTAGTGTTTCCCATGTAGTATTACCCGGGGCAACCAATGGGATTTAGCGTTCCCATGCGGTATTACCCGGGGCAACCAATGGGATTTAGTGTCCCCATGCAGTATTACCCGGGGCAACCAATGGGATTTACTGTTTCCCGTGCGGTATTACCCGGGGCAACCAATGGGATTTAGCGTTCCCATGCGGTATTACCCGGGGCAACCAATGGGATTTAGTGTCCCCATGCAGTATTACCCGGGGCATCCAATGGGATTTACTGTTTCCCATGTAGTATTACCCGGGGCAACCAATGGGATTTAGTGTCCCCATGCAGTATTACCCGGGGCAACCAATGGGATTTACTGTTTCCCATGTAGTATTACCCGGGGCAACCAATGGGATTTAGTGTCCCCATGCAGTATTACCCGGGGCAACCAATGGGATTTAGTGTCCCCATGCAGTATTACCCGGGGCAACCAATGGGATTTAGTGTCCCCATGCAGTATTACCCGGGGCAACCAATGGGATTTAGTGTCCCCATGCAGTATTACCCGGGGCAACCAATGGGATTTAGTGTCCCCATGCAGTATTACCCGGGGCAACCAATGGGATTTAGTGTCCCCATGCAGTATTACCCGGGGCAACCAATGGGATTTAGTGTTTCCCATGTAGTATTACCCGGGGCAACCAATGGGATTTAGCGTTTCCCGTGCGGTATTACCCGGGGCAACCAATGGGATTTAGTGTTCCCCATGCAGTATTAGGGAATAAAAGGAGACACCGGTTGGTTGCATTTGGGGAACATTCTGGGTCACACTGCCTGTTATCACTGACTGACGCCTTCTCCTATGACAGGTCTCACGGGAGGACTGGCCGCTCCGCTGGTCGCTGCAGGAGCCGCCACCATCATCGGAAGCGCGGGAGCCGCTGTCCTGGGGTCCACAGCCGGCATCGCCATCATGGCATCTTTGTTTGGCGCGGCCGGAGCCGGTCTGACCGGTAAGCCGTCCGGTTTTGTCCTCCAGTCGGGTTTATATTTAGCTTCGGCCTCATAAAGGAATCCGTCGTGTTGTTTCCAGGCTACAAGATGAAGAAGAGAGTTGGAGCCATAGAAGAATTTGAGTTCCTGCCTCTGACTGGAGGACGCCAGCTTCACATCTCCATCGCCATCACTGGCTGGCTGTCCACCGGCAAATACGGCAAGTGACGCATTTTGTGTTATTTAACAATGATCATGTGACCTCCGTCATCCACAGACCTCAACAACGGCCTCCGTGGCCTCCGCTGGCGGCCCTCTAATGAATATTCATTTCCTGATAGTAACGCTCATCTGACGGATGGCTCTCATGTAATCTGCGATGGTTTCTTTGTCCAGGCAGCTTCGCCGCCCCGTGGCACAGCCTCCAGCACTCCACCGAGCAGTACTGCCTGGCGTGGGAGTCCAAATACCTCATGGAACTGGGAAACGCACTGGACGCCATATTGAACGGCCTGGTAAACATGGTCGCCCAGGAGGCCCTGAAGTACACCATCTTGTCAGGTGGGTCTTGGACGGCTCGGGGTTATCCTGAAGACACATCGTGCCCCTGTCAGCGTGCTGTGTAATACATCTGCCCTTTCCTCTCTAGGAATCGTGACCGCATTGATGTGGCCGGCCTCCCTCATCACCGTGGCCAGCGTGATTGACAACCCCTGGGGCGTCTGTCTGAGCAGATCGGCGGAAGTGGGCAAACACCTGGCACACATACTGCTCAGCCGGCCGCAGGTAACGACGAGCAAAGGATTTATAGTTTACTTTCTCTGTCTCCGGTTATCTGACCCACTTCCTGTCCCAGCCATTTCCTGCGTCACGTTCCGCCTGCGTTATATCTGCTTTCCTAATAACTGTCTGCCTATAACTGACGGCTCACCGCTGGGCCCCGATGTGATGCCCCCAGCCTCTTTCTTTCTGTTTACCACTCTCTGTTTTTTGGGGCTCCCCCAGTGCCTCCTCCTCCAAATATTTACCTCATCTCCCCTTATCACCCCTAATACCCCTCCTCTCCCCTAATCACCCCTAATACCCCTCCTCTCCCCTTATCACCCCTATCCCTCCTATCCTGCTCTTTGCTCATCTACCCTACCCCTTCTCTCCTCTCCTCTTATCACCCCTATCCCCCTCTTTGCTCATCTACCCTACCCCTTCTCTCCCCTCCCCTTATCACCCCTAATACCCCTCCTCTCCCCTTCTCACCCCTATCCCTCCTATCCTGCTCTTTGCTCATCTACCCTACCCCTTCTCTACTCTCCCCTCATCTCTCATACCCCTCCTCCCCCCTTATCACCCCTAATACCCCTCCTCTCCCCTTATCACCCCTATCCCTCCTATCCTGCTCTTTGCTCATCTACCCTACCCCTTCTCTACTCTCCCCTCATCTCTCATACCCCTCCTCCCCCCTTATCACCCCTAATACCCCTCCTCTCCCCTTCTCACCCCTATCCCTCCTATCCTGCTCTTTGCTCATCTACCCTACCCCTTCTCTCCCCTCCCCTAATACCCCACCTCCCTTTATCACCCCTATCCCTCCTGTCTGCTCATCTCCCCTACCCCTTCTCTACTCTCCCCTCATCTCTCATACCCCTCCTCTCCACTTATCACTCCTATCCTCTTCTTTGCTCATCTGCCCTACCCCCTTCTCTTCTCTCCCCTAATACCCCTGGCCCTTCTATCCTCCTCTCATCTCAACTCCCCTACCCCTGCTCTCTTCTTCCCTCCCTCTCCTTCTCTGTCTCTGCCCCCAGCTCCAATTACTTTCCACCTCTACCCCTCATCTTCTGTCCCCTTTGCTTGCCCTCCTTTTTTTTGCCCCTCCTCTCCCTGCTCCCCTTTTCCTCTCCTCACCTCTCTTTTTTCTGGATGTCTCTGATTCTATATGTTTTCTTTCTTGTCTCTCTCTATGCCTCTGTCTGTCTTCTCCCCTCGTGTCCCCTGACGTGGTCAGATTGGTGAGAGGTAAGTCATTGGGGTATTGTGTGGTGTATGGTGACACGCACGGCATTATTGAAAAGTCCATAAACTTGGTAGAACTGTGAACTAATCTCTGTGTATTCGGATGTTTCACAATGGGGGTGATGCTCAGGTATCAAACATGTGCGTCATTCTCATTCCTGGCAGCCGTCCCTCTAATGAGCATATGTTCTGCATGTCCGGGGATGGTAATTGCAGATTATAAATGACTACTTCACCACACTCATTATGCCCAGGAACTGCCTGGCACGTCCCGGGGATCCTGCATGCAGACACTTGGTCAGGCACAGCTGTGTGGGCTCCCCCAGGGGAGGGCGACTGGAATCCTGATTTCCTCTGGGAAGGTATCAATCAGTAAGGCAATACAAGGAGCAGACATGCAGGAAACTATGGCAACCAATCAGGTCTGTGTACTGGAGGCACATCAATAAGATTAAACGCCCTGTGGATGTAAAATCACACTTTAGTTATGTATTTCTTCAGCAATCATAAAATGTACTTTTATATATTCCAAGTATACAGAGATTTCATACAGAGCTGCAGTATGAATTATCACCACAAGATGGCAGCAACTTACCGGGTCCTAATTTGAGAGTAAAATGATCTTTTAATAGCAGGAGCCGGTCAGCCTGTAATAAGGAATTAAATAATACAACCCGACCATTCGTATACATTTGCAAGTTTGGAATGTTGAGGAGGGTGTGCAAGGTGTGTTTCGGTTTGCTGACAGCATGACTTGTTTGTCCTGGTGGTCTGGTGGTGGAGAACATGGTCTTGGATGTGCGTGTCCGTGGGTTCAAGCCTACCGTATGTTGGTTTTTCAGTTTGAGTGGTCACCGTTGTTTTCTGCACATTGTCAGGGCTCATCGGCCGAGTCCTCCTGTGGCTCATGCTGTTAAGACGTTGGTTAGTAATTCTGGGTTCTGGTGTACATGTTTCTTTCCTCTGTCATGTGATATCTTCAGTCTATGGATTCATTGAGTGGCTTGCTTTGTGTTCCGTCTCTGTGGCTCATGCAGTTGGTTGGTAGCTCTGCAGTGCCTTACTTTGTCAGTTCGAATCCCTCTTGCAGCCAAATCTTTAAGTTTCTTCATGCTTGAAGGTGATGACGCCGTGATATGGTTATGCTGGTTGCACATATGCTTGTAAGCTGAGTGCGTGGCTCAGAGTGCTGGGTGCCGGTTGCCTGAAGGTTACTACTGAGCGTCGTGAGATCAAATCCCAGCAAAGGCTGCTCTGTGCGGTGTGGACCACAGAAGGTGCACTTGGCACCACGGCTTCTCTGAGTGTCATGGACGGTGTGATGAAAGCAGGTGGCTCACTGAGTGGTGCGGACCACAAAAGGTGCGATGGGAGAGGACATCACTGACTGGTGTGAGCCCCAGAAGGTGTGGTGGTAGCAGGAGTACAAGTATCCGGAGCAGCTGGGAAGGGGGGGAGTAAATTGGGTGAAAAAAAAAAACAATGTAGTTACAAATTTCTTTTTCCTTGGTGTCTACACTGCACTTCTTATCCCTTCTGGGGTGTTTGCTCATTGATGTCACTTTGCTGTGTCTGTTTACATTCATCTGTGGTCTGCTCATCTGGTGCTGAGTCCTTGCCTCGTTACACCATCTGTTATCAATCGCTTTGCCCCATTTGTTGGTGTTCACATGGTGCCAAGTGCCACAGCTTCACAGCTCTCTGCTCCACAAGCCGCCAAGGTCCACACCTCTCACTGAGGGCTCTGCTCCACAAGCTGTCATGGTGCCAAGGTCCACACCTCTCACTGAGGGCTCTGCTCCACAAGCTGTCAAGGTCCACACCTCTCACTGAGGGCTCTGCTCCACAAGCTTTCATGGCGCCAAGGTCCACACCTCTCACTGAGGGCTCTGCTCCACAAGCTGTCAAGGTCCACACCTCTCACTGAGGGCTCTGCTCCACAAGCTGTCATGGCGCCAAGGTCCACACCTCTCACTGAGGGCTCTGCTCCACAAGCTGTCATGGCGCCAAGGTCCACACCTCTCACTGAGGGCTCTGCTCCACAAGCTGTCAAGGTCTGCACCTCTCACTTAAGGCTCTGCCCCGCAAGCCATCACGGCAGTCACATGGTCCACACCTTCACATCTCTCTCTGATGGTTTTGCCCACGAGCCATCTTGCCTTCAAGGCTTGAAACCTGCTCTTTGCTTGGCAACTCTCGCGGTTTGAACACATAGCTCTTCATCTTGTGTGCTGCCGCCATACACACTGAGCCACAGAGCCAGGTGATGGTTTGCTCTTCCACAAGATCCTCTGGTTATTGGAAAGCGTTCTTCGTGCAATAATTCATGAATAAAAAGCAGAACAAGACCCACCCCAGAATCAAACCCAGAACCCAACACACTAGTCTATGGTAGACCAACACCACACGCCACGGATGCAGACATAATGGGGGCCCTTTCACTGTGGGATATGAAAGATGAACATGGAGCCAAAGTAACAATAGTGTAATGAGAACATACAAACTATAGCAACCAATTCGACTGACTGTGATAAATGAAGTATTGATGGTTGTCATAGGTTACCGCAGCTCACTCTAAGTAAGCCAAATATTATGACAAATGTAAGGAGAAGGGTTTGAGGTTGCAAGCTTCTGTGCTGTAGGTCACACGCCTACCCACCGCACCACAGTAGCTCTTGGGAGCCGAGCTCCACCAGAGCAATATTGCAACACACACACATGTCCCAACGCTCTTTCATGGAAGTGCTTGGTGTAAAAATTGCACTTTTGTTTACTGTTAGTATTGTTCTATGAATGACTCAAAATGTAGACCAAAAAAAATAAAATATACAGCCACCCCATCCTGGAATTGAACCAAAAGTCTCAAATACACATGAACAGCGCACAAACACCCCACGCCACAGACTCACATAGGGAGGGAGCTTTCCCATCCAAAGGATTAAAGACCTAATGCATCAGCAGGCTTGAGTAAAGATAATGGAAGGAATAAACATAAAGTGTATTAACCAATCAGATATTGTCTACTACTGACTGAGATAAATTGAAATCTTGTGGGTTGTTATGGGTTACCTCAGTTCACACTTCTTAATAAGTTAAACCCAAAATAATGACCATGTGGGATTTGAACTCTCAACCTCTTGTATTGTAGGTTAGGTTCCTACACACCACTCCATAGGAACTGTAGGTGGCCCTGCCGCCCCACCAAGAGTGCTCATATGGCTATATACATATGGTCCACCATCCACCAAGCCATCATCATCATCTCCCTTCCATCTTTCCTATGACCCACCATCCACAAAGCCATCATCATTTCCCTTCCATCTTTCCTATGACCCACCAAGCCATCATCATATCCCTTCTTCCATCTTTCCTATGGTCCACCATCCATCAAGCCATCGTCATCACCCTTCCATCTTTCCTATGACCCACCATCACCATCCGCCAAGCCATCGTCATCACCCTTCCATCTTTCTTATGACCCACCATCCACCAAGCCATCATCATATCCCTTCTTCCATCTTTCCTATGACCCACCATCCACCAAGCCATCATCATCTCCCTTCCATCTTTCCTATGACCCGCCATCCACCAACATCATCACCCGTCCATCTTTCCTATGACCCGCCATCCACCAAGCCATCATCATCACCCTTCCATCTTTCCTATGACCCACCATCCACCAAGCCATCATCACCCATCCATCTTTCCTATGACCCACCATCCACCAAGCCATCATTATCTCCCTTCCATCTTTCCTATGACCCGCAATCCACCAAGCCATCATCATCATCACCCGTCCATCTTTCCTATGACCCGCAATCCACCAAGCCATCATCATCATCACCCGTCCATCTTTCCTATGACCCGCAATCCACCAAGCCATCATCATCATCACCCGTCCATCTTTCCTATGACCCACCATCCACCAAGCCATCATCATCTCCCTTCCATCTTTCCTATGACCCACCATCCACCAAGCCATCATCATCTCCCTTCCATCTTTCAAGCAGAAGGCACCTCAGTAAGTTTTGCACGGTTCTAATCTTTGTGTACTGAAGATGGTTCCTGCAGAACCCGGGGCAGCCCTTGGGGTGGACCACTGGATTTCAGTGGCAGTGATTTCTCCATTATATATATATTAGTTCTCCTTGATTTATTTTTATGACGGTTGCCGTTGTCCCATTTTGCTCTGGTTGGTTTCTTATAAATTGTTCTTTTCTTCATAGTCCCACTATCGGTCTCTTGGTGTAGAAACCTCCCACATAGACCCCCCCCAGACAGCCGACACAGATCATCGTGATTCCAGTCCATGTTATTAGTTAGTCCCATGCTCAGGTTTGTAATGAGATGATGATGGTGCCCCCTTCACCCTCCTGTTGAAGAGTCTGACCAAGTGTGTGCACGGCGGATCCCGGGGACGTGCCGGGTATAATGAGGGAGGTGAAGGAGCTTTTTATAATCCGCACTTAGCAGGATAATTACCGTCTCTCAGCACGCAGATCATACAGAGGGGCCCTCGTCGGCAATCAGCTGCTCTTGTATATGGCGGCTGAGGATCTCCTCTGGTGGATTTGTGACCTCCGAATACAGAGAGTGTGTCCTCCGCTCAGTCCCAGATTCTTCAGTGACATTGTGCACGGCTGTATCTAAACCTAAAATCTCTCGTGCACTATGTTTGGTGTCATTACAGACCTCCTAAATTTTTTAACCAGAGATCCTGCCAGTTACAGCACTTCCTGTAGTAGGCTGTGACAACACTAAGCCCCTTCCTCACAATTAGTAGCAGTGTTGTCAGCCTGCCATGAGAGCTCCTTTTTTTTTTGGCTGCCTATCTGATGTGCAGTCTTCAGTGACATTGTGCACGGCTGTATCTAAACCTAAAATCCGTTGTGCACTATGTTTGGTGTCACGTCTCACTGTATACAGATCTCCTCCGCGAATATTTTAAGTAAACTTGTTGCAGTTTCTTTCCCAGAGATCCTGTCAGTAACGGCACTTCCTGTTGTAGGCTGACAACACTAAGCCCCTTCCTCACAATTAGTAGCAGCTGGAAAGGGGAGGATGGGGAAAAGAGAGGGAAGGGGGGGGGGATTAAAACCCTTCACTTTCCTTTTTGAGCTTTTGATATGTATTTTTGGGGAATGGGGGGGCTGCTTTGTGACGCCATAGTTGGGGAAGGACAATGTCAGAACATTGATTGTAGTGCTGTAACTGGCAGGATCTCTGGTTAAAAAATTTAGGAGGTCTGTAATGACACCAAACATAGTGCACGAGAGATTTTAGGTTTAGATACAGCCGTGCACAATGTCACTGAAGAATCTGGGACTGAGCGGAGGACACACTCTCTGTATTCGGAGGTCACAAATCCACCAGAGGAGATCCTCAGCCGCCATATACAAGAGCAGCTGATTGCCGACGAGGGCCCCTCTGTATGATCTGCGTGCTGAGAGACGGTAATTATCCTGCTAAGTGCGGATTATAAAAAGCTCCTTCACCTCCCTCATTATACCCGGCACGTCCCCGGGATCCGCCGTGCACACACTTGGTCAGACTCTTCAACAGGAGGGTGAAGGGGGCACCATCATCATCTCATTACAAACCTGAGCATGGGACTAACTAATAACATGGACTGGAATCACGATGATCTGTGTCGGCTGTCTGGGGGGGGTCTATGTGGGAGGTTTCTACACCAAGAGACCGATAGTGGGACTATGAAGAAAAGAACAATTTATAAGAAACCAACCAGAGCAAAATGGGACAACGGCAACCGTCATAAAAATAAATCAAGGAGAACTAATATATATATAATGGAGAAATCACTGCCACTGAAATCCAGTGGTCCACCCCAAGGGCTGCCCCGGGTTCTGCAGGAACCATCTTCAGTACACAAAGATTAGAACCGTGCAAAACTTACTGAGGTGCCTTCTGCTTGAAAGATGGAAGGGAGATGATGATGGCTTGGTGGATGGTGGGTCATAGGAAAGATGGAAGGGAGATGATGATGGCTTGGTGGATGGTGGGTCATAGGAAAGATGGACGGGTGATGATGATGATGGCTTGGTGGATTGCGGGTCATAGGAAAGATGGACGGGTGATGATGATGATGGCTTGGTGGATTGCGGGTCATAGGAAAGATGGACGGGTGATGATGATGATGGCTTGGTGGATTGCGGGTCATAGGAAAGATGGACGGGTGATGATGATGATGGCTTGGTGGATTGCGGGTCATAGGAAAGATGGACGGGTGATGATGATGATGGCTTGGTGGAT